TTCTTCCAGTTGTGCTGCTATTCTTACTGTCCTTTTCCAAATTATTCCATCACCGTTATCTTCAGCTTTCATTTGATTTCTTGACTGCTCCTTCCATGGGCATTGACTGTGGATCCAAGTTAAATGAAATCCTTGATGACTTCAGTCTTTTCTTTGTTTATCGTCATGTTGCTTATTGGTCCAGTTGTGAGGATTTTTGTTTTCTTTATGTTGAGGTATAATCTATACTGAAGGCTATGGTCTTTGCTCTTCATCAGCAAGTGCTTTAACTCCTCTTCACTTTCAGCAAGCAAGGTTATGTCATCTGCATATGGCGGGTTGTTAATGAGTCTTCCACCAATCCTGATGCCTTGTTCTTCTTTATATAGTCCAGCTTCTCAGCATATAGATTGAATAAGTATGGTGAAAGGATACAGCGCTGATACACACCTTTCCTGACTTTAAACCATGCAGTATCCCCTTGTTCTGTTCAGATGACTGCCTCTTGGTCTACATTCCACATGAGCACAATTAATTGTTCTGGAATTCTCATTCTTCTCGATGTTATCCATAATTTGTTATGATCCACACGGTCCGATGCCTTTGCATAGTCAATAAAACACAGGTAAACATCTTTCTGATATTCTCTGTTTTAGCCAAGATCAATCTGACATCAGCAATGTTATCCCTGGTTCCACGTCCTCTTCTAAATCTGGCTTGAATTTCTGGAAGTTCCCTGTCAATGTACTGCTGCAACTGTTTTTGAATTATCTTCAGCAAAATTTTACTTGCGTGTGATATTTATGATATTGTTCGATAATTTCCACATTCTGTTTGATCACCTTTCTTTGGAATGGGCACAAATACGGATTTCTTCCAGTCGGTTAGCCAGGTAGCTATCTTCTAAATTGCTTGGCATAGACAAGTGAGCACTTCCAGCTTTGCATCTGTTTGTTGGACCCTGGCCCCTGGTGTTGTTCTGACTGATGATATTGAGCTTCTCCATCTGTAACTTCCTAAAGTCTTGTTTTTCACTAATGCCTTCAATGCAGCTTGGACTTCCTTCTTCAGTACCATTGGTTCTTGATCATATGCTACCTCCTGAAATGGTTGAATGTCAACCAATTCTTTTTGGTTCAGTGACTGTGTATTCCTTCTGTCTTCTGTTGATGCTTCCTGCGTCGTTCAGTATTTTGCCCATAAACCCGTTGCTGTCCAAGTCCATTCTGACTCATAGCGACCCAATAGGGCAGAGTAGAATTGGCCCCATAGGGTTTCCAAGGAGTGGCTGGTAGATTCAAACTGCTGACCTTTTGGTTAGCTGCCGAGCTCTTAACCACTTCACCACCAGGACTCCATTTTGCCCATAGAATTCTTCAATATTGCAACTGAGGCTTGAATTTTTTCTTCAGTTTTTTCAGCTTGAGAAATGCTGAGCCTGTTTTTCCCTTTTGGTTTTCTAACTCTAAATCTTTGCACATTTCGTTATAATACTTTGTCTTCTTGAACTGCCCTTTGAAATCTTCTGTTCAGCTCTTTCACGTCATCATTTCTTCCATTTACTTTAGCTACTCTATGTTCAAGAGCAAGTTTCAAAGTCTCTTCTGATATCCATTTTGGTCTTTCCTTTCTTTCCAGTCTTTTCAATGACCTTTTGCTTCCTTCATGTGTGATGTCCTTGATGTCATCCCACAACTTGTCTGGTCTTCAGTCACTGGTGTTCAGTGTGTTAAATCTGTTCTTGAGATGGTCTATAAATTCAGGTGGGATATACCTAAGGTACTTTGGCTCTCATGGACTTTCTCTGGTTTTCTTCAGCTTCAACTTGAACTTGCATATGAGCAATTGATAGTCTGTTCCGCAGTCAGCCCCTGGCCTTGTTCTGACTGATGATATTGAGCGTCTCCATCGTCTCTTTCCACAGATGTAGTCGATTTGATTCCTGTGCATTCCATCTTGTGAGGTCCACATGTATAGTCGCCATTTATGTTGTCAAAGAAAAGGTATTTCAGTGAATAGGTTGTTGGTCTTGCAAAAATCTATCATGTGATATCTGGCATCATTTCTATCATTAAGGCCATATTTTCCAACTACTAATACTTCTTCTTTGTTTCCAACTTTGCATTCCAATCACCAGTAGTTATCAATGCATCTTGATTGCATGTTTGATCAATTTCAGACTGCAGAAGCTGATAAAAATATTCAATTTCTTTATCTTTGGCATTAATGGTGCATAAATTTGAATAATAGTCATATTAACTGGTCTTCCTTATTCGTGTGTGGGTATTATCCTATCACTGACAGCGTTGTACTTCAGGATAGATCTTGAAATTTTCTTTTTGTCAATGAATGCGACACTGCTCCTCTTCAGTTTGTCATTCCTGGTATAGTAGACCACATGATTGTCTGCGTCAAAGTTGCCGATATCAGTGCATTTCAGCTCACGAATGCCTAGGATCTGTCTTCAAGCATTCCATTTCATTTTTGACAACTTCCAGTTTTCCTAGATTTGTACTTCATACATTCCACGTTCCGACTATTAATGGATGTTTACAGATGTTTCTTCTCATTTTGAGTCATGCCACATCAGCAAGTGAAGGTCCTGAAAGCTTGACTCCATCCATGTCATTAATTTAACTCTACTTTGAGGAGGCAGCTCTTCCCTAGTCATATTTTGAACACCTTCTAACCTGGGGGGCTCATCTTCTAGCACTATATCGGACAATGTTCTGTTACTATTTATAAGGTTTTCACTGGACAGTGTTTTTAGAAGTAGATCATCAGGTCCTTCTTTCTAGTCTGTCTTAGTCTGGAAGTATCACTGAAAACCTGTCCACCATGGGTGACCCTGCTGGTATTTGAAATACTGGTGGCATGGCTTCCAGTATTA